CATAAAATCACTCGTCATAAGCAGTCCTTTCTGCCTGTTCGTGATGCACAGCAAGGTCGACCACAATGTCGTCACTGCCACTTTAAGTTCTATGACTGGAGAGGCCTCAAAAGACACATTGTGAGTGACAGCTGTCCACTGTATGCTCCAGACCTACCTGCCCAGGCACCACCCGCTGATCGACCAATTTTTCGTGAACGTGCACAAGCCGGAGCCTGGCTTGCTTTGATCGAGGACGTCAATTTGGTCCAAATTTTGAGAGAGCATTGTGTCTTGTGTGGCCAATATTTCTTCACTGGCAAATCCCTCCTTGAGCACCTGAATCACCACCACTATGAGATGTGGTCCGAATCCAAGACGCTTGCACCGATCATCAACGATGCCCTTCGTGATAGCAAACCCTGTCAAGCATGTGGCAAGTCAATTGTGAAAGCTCATGCATGCCATGTGGTGCGTCAAATGGCAATCATCCATGCCTTGCACACCAGCAATCGACGTGCGGAGGACACGGTACAGGGCAAACCGGTGGCTCCTACTCCACCCAAGCCTGATCCCACCTGGCAAATCCCGGAGTCAGGCCTTCGTGTGAAAGCTCAATCAAGTACAGCGCAAAGCTTCAAGATCATCAACACGTATCATCCAGGCCGTGACAGTGCCGATGGAACTTCCACTTGTGCTCATTGCCAATGTGTTCAAGGGAACCACTTTGCCCTCAGGAGACACATCGAGTCAGGATGTTGTAGAGCCTTCAATGCACTTCGTCCACTGGGTAAGCACATCCCGCAAACGTGGCCTGAGCTTATGTCCTTGGCCAGGAATGCTGACACCGCGCAGATCCTGAACAAGTCGACCTATACACAAGCTCTTCGAACCGTCTGCGCCTTGTGTGGTAGACATTGTGCAAAGCCGGGATCCCTTCACCAGCATCTTCTTCAGGACCATGCCACCATCGTCCATGCAGCTGAAGCACGAGTCATGAACATGCAGACACAGGCCAATGCCCTCGGCCGACCGTGTTACTGCGGCAATCGAATCGTGAGGAAAGGCCATCAATGTGTGATCTTTGCTCAAATTGGCCTCCTACAAGTCGTGGCATCCAAAGAGACCTCAACAGCCTCAGATGTGAGCAACCCTGATCCTGCGATGCCAAGTGGTCAGGTGAACCACAAGGATGACCCTGTCCTCGACTTTTGGGCCGATCCTGCACATTGTTCGAGCCTCAACACCAAATGTGTCCTATGCCAGATTCCTCTAAGTGCTGCCGATGTGGAGCAGCATCTTCTGACCAGTCACGCCACGTTGGGTGCTCGTGCCATCGAACTGTATCCATCATGCCTGAGCCCCAAACCTGACTGCTGCCGTTATTGCTTAGAATCGGATGGGATCGTGGAATACTGCCCTGCTGCCTTGCAGTTGGCTTTTTCCCAAGCACATCTTGCCTCCAGCACGCCCTTGACGGCGCATGATGGGAACCTACGAGATTCAAGACGACGACATGATGGGGCAAATGCAGGATGCTCTCGGGGGCATATTCAACAGTTCTTCAAAGCCAAGCCACAAGAGGGGCCGCCCGGAGGAAGCCTCTCAGGAGACACAGGATGCCATCGACCGCCTTCAGAAGACGGTGAACCTCCTCACAGCTTTGAGCTTGAGACACGAATCCCAGCTACAGGCCCAAGCCTCGACGGATCAGTTCCTATGGTTCTTTCAGATGAACCAAAAGGGCATTCTTCCAGCGCTGCTCAGCCGAACAGCCTCCTGGAAACAAGAGATGGAGAAGAGTCAAACCCAGAAACCACTTCGAGTTGCCCTCTTCCAACAGGTCTGTCAGACCGTGCTCGACAGGATGCTGACTTTCGCGAAACTTTCACAGACAAGTCCGGAGTGGGAACAAGCCATCAAGGGTCAGCTCATCACCTCAGAGGGGACTTGGCCGTTCCTCCAATGGTGCCCGGACTCCAAGAGTCTCAAAGCGACGTCCAAACCGGCTATCAGCATGGTCAAAATGCAGAAACACCTGGAGGACCTGGTGGAGGCAGCTCAATCCGACCACAACATCCTTCGCTTCAAGGCATTGAAGAACACCTCAGGGGAGATCAAGCATCAGCAAGTATGCCCATTCCTACTTCATGTCTCCCTCCAAGAGAGCACAATTTGGGAAGTGCTCAACCTACTCGCTCACAACTCGATCTGGCTGGCCATTCAGGCCAGGGTGAGGCCACACACACAGAGAGAGAACCCTTTGGCCACTTCCTTAGCCAAATCCTCGAACCAACAGGACAGAACGTCCGGTGGCCGATCCAACAGGAGGAAGTGAAAGGTGCAGTGATGGCCCTGCGGCTCATCAACCCGGAGAACCTTTGCTTTGTCCACGCCACTATTTTGGCCTTCTTTTGGGGTTTCATCCATCTGCAACATGGCAAGTGGATGGATTTGGGTGGAGCTGCTAGAATCCTTATGGATCTTTGCGCACGCAGCTCCTTGTGGGTTGACACCCGTGACCTTGAATGCTGGAGCGCGTGGCTCGCTCAGTGGGATGATGGGCGCCAGCATGACTCACATGAGTTCCTCAAGGCCTTCTTGGCCTTCGTGCAACCTCCAGCTTCGACGGGGTCCTGGGTGCGAAAAATGCACTCCGACAACCGCATCAAGATCATGGATCATGGTACTGCCTGTCATGCACATGCGAAAAAGGTGTCTCTCCAAGAGCTGATAGATGAATGGCATACCTACATGGGCATGATCACAGCCTTCGAAAGAGATAGTCCACTACTGTGCTTCCAAATCGATCGCTTCAAACCTGATTCCCAAGGTGATGTGGTGAAAGCAGCCTGGCACTTGGACCTCACCATTGTTGAGGTCCCAATTGCCACTGAACCTGACAGCCTGACCACCGAGGTTTGTGAGTATGTACCAATGGCAGGGCTCCTGCACAAAGGACATGATCAATGTGGGCACCTTCAATGTGTGGCCCGCCATGCTCGGGGCTGGCTAGTGTTCGATGACAACACTGAGGCTGTTCTGCACCCAGGTGATCAGCCGCCTCGACAGGCCGACTGGATTTGCGTCTGGCTCCTTCGTCTGACACGCTATCGTGAGGTGACGCCAACCTTCTATGTCCGAGGACACGATGCCAAAGTTCATGAACTTGTCCAGCTTCTGGACCGACGAAACTGGCAGCAACTTGAGACGGAACGGCTGACCCGCTACTTTGCTGTCCACTGTGGTGCTTGCGCCCAGCTGTTTCTGGATGTGCAGTCTCTCGCTAAGCGTGTCTTCTTGAGGCACTTCCAATACCGCTGGATTCTCACCCGCACCTTCGACCTACTAACGCTGGATCATCGCCATGCTGACACACCATGTTTGATGTGTGGGGCGCTGCCTGAGGTGACAGGGGGCATGAGGAATGTCCCGACTCATGCGTGCCCGGCCATCCTCAACTATGCCCTGGCCAAGTCCTACCACCAGCATGAACTCCAGCACTATGGACCGATCTATGGTGCACCTTGCCGACGAGATGGCTCGCTCTATGGGGCCCATCTTGATGGAGGCCAACCCGAAGGTCTCAATGAATGGTTGCAAATGGATCCTGGTCCATGAGTGAGAAGAGCTGAGTCGGACATCGATCCGACATTTTGTTCACTTGTTGACTGTGCAGGGCGCGAGGACCAGAAACCTCCGTGAGACATCACGTATGCCCCATGGCTCCAGAAACCTGGAGATGAGCCCAAAGAAAGAAAGAAAGTAGCGTCCTTGCTCCTAGTAGCGATGCCAGGAGCCCCTAGTAGCG